TCTCTGCTCACAGTGAGGACTTTCTTCCTTGCTCGGCTAGAAAGGAAACTGCTGGGCATATCCATGCAATGAGACACTACGTAGCCAATAAAAAACAGGTTTTTAAAGAGCTTTTGAGATGACAAAATGCCAATAAAGTGATTAACGGAAAGGGAAGGATAAAACTATGTGTATTTCAATTTAAATACATATGTATGTGCACACTCAGGAACAGGTGGTCATCATGGGCTGCGGGGCTAAGAGCAGTTTAAGTTTTCTTTTTTCTCCTTCCTTGTCTTTTCCAGTTTTCTACTCAAGAAAAAAAAAAAAGAACTTAAAAAAAAAAAAAAGCAAGTCATACTTCACAATGAAAATAAAAGCGAGGTCACAGGAATGGACCAGAAGTGTGAGGCTTGAGGTGAGAGCTTGAGCTATTTAACTGAGGTAGACTGACTTCTAAGAAGAACAACTCAAAACTATCCTTCAAAATCTATTTTCTGAATCAAGGAAGCCAGGAGAAAAATCAGCCTCTTCTAAGGAAAACCTGTCTGGCACACATGAGAGATGGCAGCGGTGGCCCGGGGACTCCAGACCTGTGAGTATCTGCAGCCGGATCTGGGTCAGTGTCGTCAGCGAGGTCTGGTAGAGGACGCAGATGTTGCAGACCTTCTGGACCTCCGCGGAATCAACACGTTTACCCCCGACAGGCCTGAGAATGTTCCGAACTGACGCGGACTTCTGAAACGCACGCTTCAAGAGAGCTGGCACGTAGAAAAGAAGGCACGTGTGAGCAGTTCAGCCACCTGCCAAACCCCACCCTGGAAAGGGAAGGGCGTCTTAGTAAAGCTCCTAATTTCCAGCCAGAGCCAGACAGGGTGACGGCTGCTTTGATTCACACCATCTCTTTGGGATAAATTAGAAAAACACTACAACAGGTTTCTAGTTGGAACTTAAAGACTGCTTCAGAATATCAGAAGATTTTTCCAAACAAGCCAGGCATATTTGATTCTCATGGCAGCTTCTTTTATCGTAGTAATTAACTTCAGAACCCACGAAAGTAAAACTTCTGAAAACTATATTAGGGGAAAGGGGCAAGGGTGGGGGGGGCCTGGTTGATTCCGTTTCCTGCGCTCTTAGAGGGCAGGAGCAGCGGCATCATCAAATGCTCACATTCACTCTGGGGTTGCACCTTTCTTTGGTTTTACACCTTCCCATTTATATCCTGTTGAAGTTACACTGAGTCCGTGCTCAGTGACAGCTAGTAAGATGGAGCTTTGTGACACACTGGGTGGCGGAAGAAAAGCCACCCTGAACCTGGAAATCTGTCACAGGTAGGTAACTGCACTGAATTATGTGTTAACGTCACTGCCTTCCTTTTATCAGAGTAGGAAATAAGAAATCTTTCCATGGAACCCATTGTTGACCCTGAGATGGGGACGCTGCCAAGGTGGTAGCCTGGTCAGTGACCACTGTCCCCTGTATAAGGAGCCCCACGTGGGAGATGTCTTTTATGATTAGGAACTCAGAAAAGCTCTACCTCCCCTAAGAAACAAGTCTTCTTCCTCCTTTCTATTAATGAGAAAAAAGGGTCCACCAACCCCTTTTCATTTTTGGCTACTACAATTTCAGAGCCAAGCAGACATTCAGAGACAAGCATGGTGGGCCTCAGGGACCACCTGTGGACCTTCTCTACACATGACCTGGATTTTGTTCACCCAGTTACATTTCCCTAGTCCTCGTCTCCCGTCCCTAAGGACTCCCTGTCACTGTTCTGCTAAATGGGAACCTGATTTAAGCAGTCTCAGAATCTTCGTGGGAAAAGCTGGAGGTCACAGGACAGAGGGGAGCAGGCACGCAGGGCAGTCGGAGGCTGCACTTCGGGCGAGGAGAGCCCCGGGCCAGCCGGCTCCCCCACTCACTCTTCACGGGAAGCACGTTCTGTGGGGACGCGGGCTGCACATGGGCTGGCTCCGGGTTCTCCAGCAGCTTCTTGCTCAGGATGTCACTGAAGAAGATCCGGATCAGAGGCACCCCCCACAGGAACTGCAGCTGTTTGGTGATCAACGGCATGGACTCATTAAGGCTAGGAGAGAGGAGAGCGGGCGCGTCAGACCCACCTGACGGACAGCCAGGGAAGGCCCACACGGCCACTCGGAGGGGTAGCTAGGGACAGCCACTCAGCAGGGCAAATGTGATCATAAAGAAGTGGGATCTGCAAACTGCCGCTGAGGCCAGGATGTTTAACGCCCGGACGTCTTTCTCGCTCCACCCAGGCTTCCTATGCGGCCAGCAGTGTCACTGCTCTCCCCTGGTCCCCAGCTCCACGTGTCCTAGTCACCTTCCAGACAACCTCCATTTGTTCTTCATCTGAATTCCATCCTGGTTACCACCCAGTGGACAAAGCTGTCTGAGGCCAACTGTGCTGTCCTCCTTTTCGTAGTTGGCCTGCAGGCCTGGCCCACCGGCTCCATGACTCACCAGCCTAAGAGTCTCCTTGCCTTGGAGTGCACCATTCTCCACCCCCAGCACCCATTGCACCTTCCTGAAACCAGCCTTCATCACCTCCCTGTTCCAGACCTTGTAAGGCTCCCAGTCTTCTAGCATCACAGTGGTGACAGCCACCCCCCTCCCCCAAGCATAGGTAGGTCTAGCGGCAGAGCCTTTACCTGCATTATTGCATTCAGTCCTCTGAGACCACCCTATCAGAGGGCTGTGAAAATTACACCCATATCTCAGATGAGGAAAGTGAGGTGAAGCGACTTGTCCAAGGTCCCTCAGTGAAGAGGCAGTGGAGCCGAGACCAGGCCGTTCACCACTGCACAATTCTGCCCATCTCGCCCCCCAACATCCCTCCCCACAATGTCCCTCCTGACTCTCTAGCACACGCTCTAGCCTCTTCAGAGGGGCAGTCTCCAGGGGCACCAGCTGGCAACATTAACTTGATGCCACTCAGGTACCAGTTAAAGGGAGCGAATCTAGGAGTTTGTTTCCCTGGCCCTCACTTTTCTGCCTCAAGGGCCCTCCCTGCCAGGGACCCCAGGCCCCAGGCAGATATCTGACCAGGAAAACAGTCATCACAGCTGCCTCAGCTCCCAAGACCTGCTTCATCTCAGCCCAGGGTGCACATTTTATTTTCAAATTTGTGATGCCACCTTTCTTAATCTCTCTCCTTTTTAATATTTTTGTGCTCTTAATTTAAAAAATTTAAATTTACATTCTACCTCTTGAAAAGGTTCTGAGGTGAATTCTATTCCCTTTGAATCATGTGTCTTATTTTAATAGCTCCAAAATATGGCTGTCTAGGCAATCAGTAGAAGTGGTACTGATAGACAAGGTACATAATTTACTACAGGAAAAGAACAAAATAAAAAACAATATGACCTCATTTTTTGTGAAAGAACTATTATATTTATAGGTAGGAAAAAGGCTGAAAGGATGTTCACACAGGTTGCCTTTGGGTAATAGCATTAATGGAGAGTTTTTGTTCTTTTTTGGCCTTATCTATATTTTGTACAATAATATACACTGCTGTTGACATAGTATACAATCTTTTGGTTACTGGGGAAAGGGGATGGGAAGGGATAAATTTGGGAGTTTGAGATTTGCAAACGTTAGCCGCTATATATAAAAATAGATTAAAAAAAAACAAGTTTCTTCTGTATAGCACAGGGAATTATATTCAGTATCTTGTAATAACCTTTAATGAAGAAGAATATGAAAATGAATATCTGTATGTATATACATGACTAGGACATTGTGCTGTACACACACAGAAACTGACACATTGTAACTGATTGTACTTCAATTTTTAGAAGTATATATATATATACTGCTGTTGTAATAAGAAACAAAACAACTGGAGCAAGAAAGACAGAGGGAGAAGTGGTGGGAGAGAGGCAGGAGGAGACAAGAGAGACAGTGCTCTGCCTTGGGGACTCACCCATAGTCCACGGATTGGGAGAACCAGCCAAGGACAGGGTGCCAGTGGGTCAAGTTGGACTTCTTCTGGGACACATACTTCTGACAGTAGCAGAGCATCTGGGTGAGCAAACTCACGAACCCGTCCGTCTCCTCCTCTAACACTCTGGGGCTGAGGGAGCCCAAGTGCAGGAGGTTGCCTACAAGGAGAGAAGGCTGAGTGTGAGGGGCCCAGACAGACGGGCTTCGTCACCCGCCCCGCCCTGCTCTCTGCCTAGGGCTCAGCGGCCACGTCTCCATGCAGGAAGAAATTCCACATAAAGGGGACCATCGGTGCTAGGGCTGCAGTGTGGTGCAGGGCTTAAAAACACGCTGACCCAGCTCAAATCCTGGCTCTGCCACAGACGAGCTGGGTGACCCTCAACCAACCTCTTGCAACCACTTCCTCATCTGTAAGACTGGATGCGAGGAATTATATGAAGTAACGTGCAAAATGTCAGGCATACAGATTTTTAAGTTGGTATAACACTTTATTGTACCAAGATTCTAAAATCAAGGGTCAATACAAGAAACGACCTTTTGAAGAATGTCTGAAAGTCCTGGAAAATCACTGTCATTCAGTGTTCACCAAAGTTACTATGTCCTGTGTGAAGATTCTTACCATTAACTCCCTTAAAATGCAGCCCAGAGAAACTTTCTCTATGTAAAATAAATTTCTTCTATTTAGGCAATGAGAACTATGTACCTCTGCTGTTTCAAATGCTTCTATCCACAAATTCTTTCTTTATCTAAATGAAAATGCTATAAAACAGATGTTGCAGACCCTACTCTGATCTAAGCCCCACCCAACTGTGCTCTCCCTTCTCTCTGGAGATGAGAATTATCCAGGCAACTCATCGTGTTTTCATTTTTCCTTTGGCTGCCAGAAAGCCAGGGGCCGACATTCATCATTCATTTTCCGTCACTCAGCTGGTCTGCCAGGCTGATACAGTTTCCATGTGATTTTCAATTTCATGTGTTCACTTTAACTGTCTATCTGATTATATGTCTTTTATCGTAAGCAATTCCCATTAACCAGCTCGTGGTCTCCAGAAGGGTGGAAAGCAAAAAACCTGGGCTTTTCCTGACGCCCAGAACACAATCAAATTCCAGCCACAGACACTCACCCATGAGACAAAGTGTATGGCATCCTTCTAAACTTTCACACACATCACGGCATCGATCTTCGTCTCTTAAAAATGTGATGAATTTACGGAGCATGTCGTGAGATTCTAAAACAGTGAGGCGCTGCAAACAACTGCAGACTGTTAAAGCAGAAGCTGACAAAAAGAATTTCCCACCAAAGCATGAACCTGATCACCTGCAGATTACCTCCTAGCCAGCAAACATGTCACCAAATAGAAAATGAACAAAGACGAGAACCGTTATATTTTGAGCCCCCAACATCAGTGTGTCTAAAGTGGCTACTGATTTAGAAGAAACATCAGGAGAACAGGTGGAAATTAGAAGAGAAAGCATTTTACTTTCCAATTTCTAGGGAGAAAGGCAAAAATGACATCGGGGGAGCTCACAGAGCCCACTTACCTCTGGGGTCACCGTGCTGAGATGACTGATGAGAGCTGGCACGGACAGGATGTGGATGAGGAATGGCCGGATCAGATTATCTGAAAACTGTGCAGCGATCACAGGGCTGCACACAGACAGATGGCCTCACTCAGACACGGCTGCGTGCGAACCCGGAACAGAAGAGCAACCCTACCAACACCCCCAAATCCCTTGAAATTACGCTTCACAGGATTTCTAGGAAAAATAGAGGCTCAAAATGGGCCCGTCCACTGGGGGAAGGGCTGAGTCAGCAACAGCACAGTCTATAATGCAGCTATGAAAAGCCCTGAAGTTTTACTGACGTGAGAGAGTCCTCGTGCTATAATCAACTAGAAAAATTAAAAGCAGAATAAGAAACCATATATATGGGAGAAGGAGGGGTTTAGTGATTGAAAAGGAAGAAAAGAAGGGCTCCTGGAATGTTCGTACTGCTGTTCTATTTCTCAATTGGGGCAGTGCTTACTTACATGGATGTGTTTATTGTGTGAAAATTTACCACTAACTCATACTTCAATTAAGTAACTGACGTTAAATAAATGTTGATACTAATATATAAATTCGTATACACAAACATCTAAATATATAAGTTAAAAAATAAGGAAGACAGATTAAAAACTGTTAACAATGTATCTCTGGGTTGTAGAATGAGAAACACTTTTTTCTTCCTATTTATATTTTTTCTTAGATCCATGTTTTCTACAATAAGCATGTATTACTCCCATAATCAGAAAAAGAGATAAATATTATTAAAATAATGACCCCCTACCTCACACCATGTACAAAGGTAAACTCAAAATGGATCATAGACCTAAATGCTGGTTTTATAACTAAAACTATAAAACTCTTGGAAGAAAACACAGGAGTAAATCTTTGTGACCTTGGGTTTGGCAATTTCTTAGGTATGACACTAAAATTACAATTAAAAATTAAAAACGTTTGTGCTTCAAAAGACACCATCCAGAAAGTGGGGAAAAAAAACAGAATGAGAGGACATATTTGTAAATTATGTATCTGCTACAAAACTTGTATTCAGAACACATAAAGAACTCATACAACTCAACAATGAAAGATAAATGACCTATTGACACAACACTGTAAACTGACTATAACTCAATTAAAAAAAAAAGAAATTAGGGACACTTCTCAGGTGTTTGAGATGGCAGCTATGCATTTGTCTCCTTCCTCTAAAATATAATTTAATAAAAGTTTGTCTGACACTCTCTGAAAAAAAAAAGACAAATGACCTAATTTAAAAACAGGCCAAGGATCTAAAGGGATGTTTCTCCAAATAAAGATAAACAAAATGGTTTATAAGCACATAAAAAGATGGTCAACATCCTTAGCCATCAGAGAACTGCAAATCAAAATGATACCACTTCACACCCTTTAAGATGGATGAAAAAGACAAGTGTCGGCTAAAAAATGTGGAGAAGCTGGAACTCTCTAGGTTACTGACAGGAATACAAGATGGTGCAGCCACTTGGGAAAAACTTGGCGGCTCTTAAAAAAATTAAGCATGGAGCTACCACATGACCCAACAATCCTACTCCTAGAAATACATCCAAGAGAAATGAAAATACATGCCCGCTTGAAAACCTGTGCCTCAGTGTTCACAGCACTATCCGTAATAGTCAAAAAGTAGAAATGAGCCAAATGTGACCTGCACACACAACAAAACATTGTTTGGCCGTAAAAAGGACTGGAGAACTGATTCACGCTACAACCCAGACAAACACAAAGGGAAAGAAGCCAGTTGCAAAAGACCATGTAACGAAGGATTCCATGTACATGAAATGTCCAGAACAGGAACATCCAAAGGGAAAGTAGATGAGCTGCCCCTGGGGGCCTTGGGGAGTGGGGAAAGGAGTTGCTGACGGGTATGGAGTTTCTTTTCAGGGTAATTAAAATGTTCTAGAACTAGACAGTGGTGATGGCTGCATAACTCTTGTCAATGCACTAACACTCAGTGAACTTTAATTGAGTGAAATGCATGATACGTGAATTATACTTCAATGAAGTTATTACTTTAAAAAAACACCCAGAGGCCCATATAGAGAAAAAATAGATGCTGAGAACAACTGACAGGGGGAAAAATGATCTCTTCTAGCTAATGTGCTCCAACAGCAATGAGCAAACATGCTTCTGGTATTTAGACTGCCAGAATCTATATTGTAAACTTTAACTTTCAAGAGTACTATTTTTGGGACAAGAAAATTTTCTAAGGCTGAAATGCTCAAAGCATCATTAACTACTTGTCTAGGGGGCTGGCCAGCCAAGCTAAATTCTCTGAGCTAAGCTGGACAGAAGAGAATTCCCTAAAAGAGAATCAAGTTCTTTTCCACATGTTATCCAGAGATTTAAATCAAGACTAAACAATTCCCTAGACAGAGACACAGCACACCACGGCAGAACGCTGCTGAAACTGCAGCTCGTCACTTCCCACTTCCAAAGGAGTGACTGCATCATCACAGAGGCATAAAGGGCAGGTGCCTTCTCTGGGGGTTTTCACAGGACCAGAAGGATTCCACCCTGAGCCACACTCCTAAGTAGTGGACCTGTTAACAAGTAACAAACAAGCCTGACCAACTGAGAGCCAGGCATCAGGGGACACTGTGAGGACACAGGGTAGCCTCACAGGAGGCCAGTTTCACAAGATCACACATACACAAACACTCTGTCTCCCTCAATTTCCTATTATCTACTTCCCCTGCATGAAGTCATCAAGATCTTTCTTGAACTTACTTACAGCTGTTGCAGGTAAGGCCCGTCAAATTCTATAAATGTACCGCTGGCTGTACATTTAACAGGGTACACATTCTACACAGGCAACAGTGTAAAGCATAGTGGGGAGGAGGGTAAAAGAGACACTCATTGCATAGTTCTGGCCAACGGAGAGCTTGCGCTGCAACCAGGTTGCTGGACAGGCACACGGGGAAAAACAGAAACCAGGGCGAGCAGGTAGACCTGTGTAAACAAGGGGCCTGGATAATAAACAGAACAGGGAAAGTTTGGGAAGAGTTCCACATGCCATTAATTCAAGAAATATATATTGATCTTAGAATATAAAAATGTATACCACATGTGAAGCAAGTATAAATAAGAAGTAAAGAGAGTGGACTCTGGAGTCAAACAGCCCAGGTTTAATTCTGGGGCCTGCCACTCCCTGCTGTGCAACCAAGGCCAAGTGACCTAACCTCTCTGGGCCTTAGCTATCTCACCAATAAAACAGAGATAAGAGAATGTGGTGAGGAGACAGTTAATGTGTATAAAGTCTTAAAACAATGTGTGGCCCATGAATGGTAACTATTTGTATTACAAGATTTGGTGATCACATCTAAACACATCACTTACGACTTTACAGACTTTCAGTGGTAGCATATCCTTATATGACAAAACCACTGAATACCTTGTTTTAAAAGGTCCTGGTCATATTCAATTATGAACAAATACCCAGAGGAGGAAAAAAGTACGCTGTGTAAGAAAAAGGCTTTAGAGCAGCCTGGCCTTAACAACCGAGTCAATGGATTCTGACATACAGAAAGAAAGAACTTAAAATGATGGATGCTGTCACATTCTTAAAGGAGAAGTAACGTGATGGAATGATAGACGTGACCCTCCTTGTGAATCAAGTGTGAGCTGCAGCCACATCGGGGGAGGGAGAAGGATGACTTGTGCCGTTGGGAGCTGAAGGAGGAGACGGAGCCACTGCTGAGCCTGAGTGCAGGCGTCTGTGGGCTGACCCTCCACTGCCTCTGACAGAGGAGAGGGCAGGCGATGCTGCTGGAATGAGCTGCCTCGAAGGGGACCCAGGAAAGGGAGCTGCAGTAAACCTGCTTCAAGGCAAACCTATGCCTAGACGTTATGACTCATTAAATACAGCTCTACGGAACTCCTCTCAAAGTATGAAACGAATGTATGACTGTTAACCAGATCATCTGTGCTACTTCTATTACTAATTATCGCATAACTGGTTGGATTCTGTTGCTGTTATGAAGGTCGAGCCTCCAGAGGTGAGCTGTCCAATACAGGAGCCACTGGCTACTGAGCAACTGAAATGTGACTAGTCCAAATTCCTATGTTGTAAGAGTAAAATATACGCCACTTTTTGAAGACTCAGTATGAAAAATTAATACATTATCTAATTTTTTACATTATCTAATTTTAATAAGAATAAATAATTGAAAAGTCTTGATTCCATGCAAAAATGATAATACCTTGGATATACTGGTTTAAATAAAATGTATCATTAAGCTTCATTTCCCCTTTCTTTTGACTTTTTTAATGTGGCTCTCATATATTTCTACTGGACAGTGCTGCTGTGGACCAGCCTTGTCCAAAAGAAGTTTCTGTGATGATGGAAATGTTCTAAATTTGTGCGGTCTGATGCAGTTGTCAATAGTCATGTGTGGCCCCTGAGCACTTGAAATGTGCCTAATGCATCCAAGGAACTGAATTCTTAGTTTTATTTAATTATAATACTCCATTTAAACAGCCCCATGTGGCTAGTGGTTACTGGAAAGCACAGTCTAGGCCAGGGATTGGATGGCCCATAGGCCAAATTCTGCACACTGCCTGTTTTTGTAAATAAAGTTTTATTGGAAAACACAACCCCTCTCATTTGCATAAGTATTGTCTATGGCTGCCTGGCGGCTACAGTGGCAAAGTAGTTGTGACAGAACTGCATGGCCCACATTACTAAAAATACTTACTAGCTGGCCTTTTACAGAAAAAGTCTGCCAATCTATGATATAGGCCATCATTTTTCTAACTGGTATCCCATGATTACATGGAATATTAAGACATATTCCACCTTCTAAAGATTGCACAAGAGTATTCCATGTTCAGATGTGTCTGGGTCAGGTCAATGTCAGGTTAATAAGCCCAAAGAATCTGCTACCACGGGACTTGAGAGCTTTCAGCAAGAAGGTGCCTTGTGAATCAGCAGGAGGGGCAGACAGGCAGCTTTACTAAGCTGGTCTGACCACAATGCTCCTTTCTCAAGTTATTATTATCTTGGGGATTAAGATTATCTAAGATTATCAAGCTATCTGATTAACATCTCCCCAAGTTACTATTCTTCTCAACGGTTAAAGAAGGTTCTGGACTCACTAACAAGCATAGCTCTTTACACTTGGTGGTTCTCAGATTTGCCAGTATGATTTTAATTAGGAAATATTTAACATCTTAAGTACTTTACACATCTCCAAACGACTAAGTGAAGGTAAATATCACATCCTCTCCGGTCTTCCAAATTCTAACGTTCTAAACCCGTGTTCACAACGCTATTCCCTTAATCCTCTCACACCCAGCCCTTTGCTGGGGGCCTCTTCTAGCTCTTAACGTTTCCTTTATTTTTATCAACTAAAAGCTCAAAAGGAAAAATGATTACGCTTGGCCTCTGGCAGAATAAAAGCAAATCATTTTGAATACCTTCCCTCAAACCAGGATGCAAAAATATTCAGGGGTAGGAAGATTCAGCAGCAGAGCAGACACAGATGTGTCCACTGTCACCAAGAACAACACTTCCTGTAAATTCTAACAAAGGGGGCAAGCTCATCCCTAATACAAGCAACGAGAGAAGAGAAAAGCAGGCGGTGGCGGCTTCAGAGGCACGCCAGCTCCTCAGCTATGGTTACCTACTCACCGCAGCGCTAGGGACAAGGCCGCCGTCAGAGTGCCTTTGGACAGACAAGGCCGCGGTCTCGCCAGGCCACGGGTTAATAGTACCTGAAAAGAACATGGTAACTGGTCAGGGGGCAATGCCAACTTTATATTCATTTGTCCATAAAAAAATGTACAGTGAGTGCTTCAGATAAAAACCTGTACTGGAATGAAAGAGAAGTAATGGGCGTGGACGTTCACCTTACCGCTCTCTCTCATTTTAAATATGAGGCTTCAGGTTTTAAAAAATATACACAATTAAGCAAAAATTCACAGCTGATAAAAATACCAGATTTAAAACCTCAATTACTGTAGGAGCAGTTCAGAGTACAGTGTCAGGCAGAAGCTCCCACTGAGACGCACTGCTGATAATCCACCTTTGGCTGCCACACTGCCTCGCGGGGTTGCTGTGAGGAGGGAATGAAACCAAACCAGGAAAGGGCCCATCTCGGTACTGGGCAGGAGGAAGGACTAAGTCAACGTCACTTCGCACACTCAAGAATTCCAAAGTCCTTTTCAACAGTGACTGGTTAGATTTCTGGTAACTCCCTGGATGTATGAACTGGCACAGGTAACATGCTGTGTGGATGGAAGGCTGTCTGGGGACACAGAGCCAGAAAGAGAATCCAGACATCAACTAGGAAGGAACCTGCGGAAATGAGTCCTGAGGACTCCTTCCTGAGTTTAAGTTTCAAGCGGCTGGATTATCTCTGTAGCCAAGGATGTAGCACAATAAAGGGACCCCAGTCACCGTCCTCCCTTTTCACAAACCACCAGTGTCTCGAGGCGGGGGAGGAGGAGAGGAAGCTCGGCCTAAGCCTTTCCTGCAGAACGTGTTTCTGTGAGGAGGGCAGCTGGTATGCCGGAACCAGAGGTAAAAATCCAAGTGCAGGTACTGGAGAATGAGGTTGCATTTTAGGAATAGGGTCACACACCTGCAGCACAGAATAAAATCCACACTGGTTGAGATGTCCCATTATATTTGCACAAATGTGGTTCAGGGCTGGTCGAAGACTCTCACCTAAACAAAGAAAAGAGTCTGAGAAAAAAACCTCTGGCCGTAAGGTGAACAGTTTATGTGCTATGTGCTGCAGGCCGTAAGGAAACAAGCAATCCCCTGGCTCGCCTTCCTGCTCCCCTCCGTCTGGTACCAGAGCACAGGGAGATGCCGCATCTCTGGAACTCCGTCTTTCCTGGCAGGCTTGGGTCCAGTGTCACCTCTTAGGTGACGGGTTTTATCGTCCCAGAAGTAACATCCCCAGCCTCCAAGCTCCTGAAGCACCTTTTCTAGTCCCCCCAGAGGGCCTGGCACCTTCTCCTTGCTGTGGCTACCTCCTCTCCCCAGTGGGATATGAGCCCCCTGGCAGGACCCAGAAAGCACCCAGTTTGAACTCACTCCCCACCAGAGTCCAGGATAATGCCTTAAAATAAACCCTCCTTCCTGGCCTGGAGCCTTTGCACAGGCAGTTTCCTCTGCCTTCGAAGTTTTGTCCCTCCTCTTCACTCCGCCAGCTCTAACTCTCCCTCCAGCTCTCAGCTCAGACATCACCTCCTCAGGGGAGCCGGAGCCCCAGACGACGCAAGGCCTCCCTGCCCCACTGGACACTCTCGTTTCTCTTGTGCTCTTCCTTCCAAGCACCACTTACCACACTGTTGTCATGACACGTACGTATTCACACGTACCACTTGTATATGCACACATATTCCTATATCTGCTTCTCTTTAATGCCTGTCTCCTCCCTGCGCACCGCCCCCACCCCCTGCCAAGTTCTATGAGGAAGGGTGGGCACGCAGCAGTTGAGCACCTAAAGCCACTGGAGGACACTGGCCTTTCCTGGATCTCCACGGCCCACACAGTATCTGGCACAAAGCAGGCCACTCGTGGATGAATGAAGTGAACACACGAAACACAGAAGGCGGAGGACAATACTCAGGGAAGGAGGCAGCTTTCCCATGCAAATTTGATGGGTAAAATACAACTATTTACTGCCAAACATTCTCTAAATGAAATGACAAGGCTTAAGGGAATATTATCACTTGGAGGCTGAGGTGCTGCGGGAGTCACAACAAATGAGATCAGAGGGCCTGGGCCTCAAACATAAATTCCAAGATGGGAGACACTGGAGCAGGCAACACTGAACGTACTTTGGGTACTACAGTGCAGTGTGACAGGAAGGGCCAAGGGCATCCCCGTGTGTGTGGTTTCGGGGTCTTCCCCGAGGCCTGTGGTGGCAAAACGCTTCTCAAAAAGGTGAGAAAGTCCCCAAACTCCCTATGGAAATGCTACTCAGGGAAGATTTTTGAAGCAAGTCGCACAGACCTTTTCCCCGGAGAATTTTCCATGTTGAAGTGTCTGTGAACGTGACAAGCACTGTGAGGTACAGTGTGATGAGTTTGGAGTCCTGTAAAATTTCAGGCTAGAAACAATAAAGACAGTAAGATTAAGACCCTCCAGCCCAAGACAGTGGAGCAAGCATTTCACAACTTTTCCGAAAGCGCTCGGGCTCAAACAAGGGACTGAGGATTACAAGTCAGTCTTTACTCTTTTTCTCCAGGGGAATGACCACTTCAGTAGTTACATGGCGGGGATTTTGGCACACTCGTGTTTGACCACAGAATCTGAAATACTCTTGGGAATGGAGAATTGAGAATTCTTAGAAAACAAGATGACCAGGGCTGGCTTGCTATACGTATGCTTTTACATATTTAATGCATGTATGTAACGTACACTGGAGCCACAGAACAGAAATGCAATTGAACATTAACAAGGACTCTGGGCTCAGACTTTTGGTTTTACCATTTACTAGCTGTGTGATCTTGGGCAAGTTTCTTAACCTCCCTGTACTTCAGCTTCCTCCTCTGTTGACTAGGGACAGTAATGCTACTTTCCTCATTGGATTACTGTGAGAAATAAATGGATTAATGTATATAAAGGACTAAGAACACTGCCTGGCGTACAAATAATGCTGTATAACACAGGCTATGACTATAATCATGATTATAATTCGTGCCTGCTGGGTCAAGGCCAAGAGAGACATTCACAAGCCCCTCAAGAGAAATGTGTGGGAATGGATCACTGGGGGGTCTGGGGACATCTGCTCCGTCGCTCAGCTACCCGAATCCTTGCCAAGTCTCTGCTCCAAAACTTCACCCTCGCTGTCTGTGCACACTCACACCCCCACCCACCTGCCCATAACACAAGGGTGGGCACAGGATCAGGTGAGGCCGGTGGCAGGACCCCACCCGTCTTGCCACTGTGACCAGTTCAGGATCCCACTGGACCTTTATGAGTCCTTCCTGATTTTTGAACTGGTGGGGACAGCCTCCCTTTTCCCTTTGGTCAAGACAGAGAAAGGGTATGGGGCCAGAACTGCCGGCTGTCACGATTCCAGCGGGAGAGAACAAGGTGCCTTCAAAGGGCAGGACCGACGAGAGAAAGGAACGAGAGGGAAAACTCTGGCTTCATCACCCCCAGCTGCCGTGTTAGGGAACATAATCTACAGCAGAATATTCTCTTTCTTGCTCAGCTCTTATGTATGACCAGCTGCACTCACATTTGGTTTCTGCACTTGTAACAAGAGGCCTGACTAGTATAATACAAACAATGAAGCATCCACTATACTAAAAGCATGGAAAGGAAAACAACAGATTCCCCGGCATCAAGCCCGCAGTGAGTGGAGGTCAATATTCAAAATGCTGTGCGTGAAGAAAGGGCTCATAGTGGGAACAGTATCTAACTCACTCTCTCCAGGAACAGGGGCTCCAAACTCCAACTGACAGATCACAAAGGTGTCACCTCGGAGGGAATCACAAAGCCCCTGACAATACATTCTACAGGTCTCAGATGGGAAGGATAGATTTACAGTTTTGTTTTTATTTTTTACCTTGAGCTGCTCAAGGAACTCACAGCAATACCACAGAATGTTTTTGATCTGTTTAATCCATAGGAGAGTGAGATCCTTGGAAAGAGCCAGGGACACGTACCATACCTAAAAGCAGGAAAAAGAGCAACGTATGGGCGGCTTACCTGAATGGGACCAATGACCCAGGTCCAGAGCCGGATAAGGCAGTGGGGATGGGGATGAATGGATAAATGAGCAGCAAACATGACTTATTTTAACAGTAAACCCAAAGGTAAAAACCTAGTAAAAGAATTTACTACCCTCAGTAAGAGGCAAGAGCAGAACACAGCTTCTTGGATAGTACAGAGACAAAGAAAATCAGTGGGACTTTGCTAATGTTTTCGATCCATTACTTTTTTTTTAAATTATTTTTTGTTTATTTATATGGAGATCCTGGGGCTTGAACCCAGGGCCTGGTGCATGCTAAGCATGCACTCTACCACTGAGCCACACCGTCCCCCTTGATCCATTACTTATTTGCATGTGTGTGAAGACACGCAGTCATATACAACAGTCAGAACATCCAACAGGAACCTTCAGAGCCAAACAGGCTGGCTTGAGAGCTCATGGGAGACTTTCTAGCTCCTGCCCCTCTTACCTTGGGTTCACTCTCAGCATCCATGCTGCTCAGGATGCAGCGACACAACTTCTCAAATCTCTGCAAAGAAGCAAAACGGGGGTTTTAAATTCCCACGATGAATGGAGAAACGAGAAAGTAGCAGAAGTTTGGTGGGCACCCAGCATGCATGCATGTGCAGGCATGATGCCCGATGACTCACGTCAGGATCCTATTTAATTCTTACAGGTGTGGAGACTGAGGACCAGAAAGGCGAAAGAAAGACTCTTAATCCGGTGGCCCAGAGGCTGGATAAGCCTGACCCGTGTTTTAGACCGAGGCTCCTTTTGAAAAACAAGATCAAACTGACAAGCTGGGCCTGGCTTCCTGCGGACCAGCAGCTGTCTTCTAAATTGTGCTCAGCCGTTTGCCATTCTGTGAGCACCATGAATACCTGCTTTTAACTCACAAACTGTCACATCATCACTGCCACCTTGAAATGCAAAAGGAAGACAAGTGGAGACTGGAACCCAGTTTACACTCTGGCTATACCAACCCGGGATCCCCTCTTAAAAGTGGTGTGGCCCTGGGCGCCTTACCATACCAAGCTGCAGTTTCCTTCTCTGCAAACGGGGGTCACCCCACTGCACCTGGCTGTCCTTGTCTGCGTGACCGTGTGTTCACTGCCAGCGTACCCCTCCCTCTCCTGCTGGGCTTCGGGCTCTTCGAGGGTAAAGACCTTGCCCATCTTATTTCCTTCTGGGGCCCCAGTGCCCAGAAGAGGGTCTGGCACCATGTGAAGCTTAGCAGTAACGGATGTCTAACCCCCAAGAAGACAGAGGTGCTCCTCAATGGGATCGTTGGTTCTGTTCCAGGTAACTAGCTGCTTCCCTGGAATGGTACTTTCTAGGTTGATAACTCTAATCCCAAAGGTACAACTAGCATGTTCTGTTTGCTTGCAGGACTAGCTACCAATTTTTACAAATTAGAAAACTGAGTGTTAAAGATCTCCAACACCTCTTTAAAAAAAAAAAATTCAGACTATCAATCCACCGGTGGCTAGAGCTGAGGAGCGGCCACCTGTCTGGATGGGCAAGCAACAGCCCACCCCCGATGTCTTCACCACCACTGCCTGTCAGCTGCCATTTATTATGGCCTGTATTCATTGTCTCGTAAATGGCTCCTTTCACTTATCTGCCTGCCTCTTGTTTGGATCTGAGGACAAGTGTGAGTAATAGTCAGTGTGAAAAGGACTGTAATGGTCCCCAGCGCTGGGTATGATCCCAACAAAACATGTTCCAAGTACATAAAAGGGGCAGGACGTGGGGGTAACAAAACCTACCTCACAGAGCTGCTGTAAGGACTAAATGAGTTAATATTTATAAAATATTCATTTTTAAAAAATGGACACATAGTAAGCACGATGTGTGTTTGCTATTATTATTTTACCTCATTATCCTCTTTAATCCTGAACAAGAACAGCAGTTTCCTGGCGATCTTAAAAATACAAAGTGCGCTTCTTTTACTGGACCCGGAGTCATCTGCTTTAAAAAACTCATCAATCTCTCTCCTAAGGAGGGAAGGGTGAAAAAAGACATTTTTAACTAGGAGCTTACAACAGCTGGAAGGCTGTTCAAGAACTCTAAGAGAACTGCAATATATATATATATATATATATTATTTTTTTTTTTTTTTGCTATTATTTGGGTACAAGAGAAAACGTGCTGAGGGGTTCCTTACACCCACCGGATTTCTCTTTGCAGTCGACGCCGGCAGAGGAAACTCCGTACGTGGGCCTGAATCTCCACGGCTGCCCGCTCCCGCTCCTTCTGCACGAGCCTTTCCTCTCGAGCCTGACGGGCTCTGTCGATGAACCATGCTCTCGAGGTCTGTGAAACGGTGAACATGCTTGCAAACGTGCACAAACCCTACAAGGAAAATGGCAAGTGGCTGATGTGGGTCATTATGTGAAAAACACACGTGGAAAAGAGGCTCAGGAGCAAAGCTGACTACTCAGGACACCGCTGGCACCCTCTAAAGGGCCAACAGCTCTCCTGGCACGAGTCCCAGCTTCCTGTCAGGTCCCTTTGTGCAACTCCCCAGACCAGCGATGCTTTTTCTTGTATTAAATAATTACATTTTCTTAAGAGAAAGAAAACAGTGCCTGGCATAAGGTACAGGCTCTGTAATCCTTTAATGAATAAACAAAGCATGAATCGATTTCATCTAAAAAGCTCTAATTCAAAGCAGGCATCCTCTAAGTCAAAGGTTCCTGCATATTTCACTGAGCAGTCAACTTTTATTTCGCCAAGGAAAGACTCTAGGAAAAAACATCAAACATAATTATTTAGTATCATCATTATTTTATTCATCCAGTCACTTAACAAATATTTATTGATACTTACTTTGTGCCTAGCACAAAAGAAGCCTGACATTTTTTTTAAAGGGCCATCAAAACATTAAAATAGCCAAAGATGCATGATTCCAGAATGCAAGACAACCCATTAAATCGAGTATGTTTGGTTTTAAGTATAACTTATTGTCTTTACTGTTCCCATCCTGCCAAGGGCTGATGAAGACTTTAGAGCAGAATTGCTCCCATCCACTGACTGGCACTTTTTGGACAGAGGCTCTAAATTATCCATTAGATAGATTTTAATCAAAATCACTGGTAACTGTCTTTTCCCAAAGGTATGGTTTTGGCTATAAGCCTAGAACACACAGCACTGGTCCATCAACCCAGATGACACAAGCACTGAAATGAATTATTCAGAAATCCACCCTTCTGGAAAACCAGCTCTTCACTGGGTTACTTCACTCAAAGCAGTGCCCACATGAACACATCAAGAATAAAAAGCTCATGTGGGGAGCCCCCTATGTCAACATACTGAGGGGCCTCTGTGGCCCCTTTCAACACTGATTCACATCTGTTAATTAACAAGGCTTTTGCAGCATGTGGGTCTTTCACGAGTGATTCTCAAAATAAATGAATATGGAGACAGTCCCTCATGGGGCAGGGAAGAAGGAGCAGAGAGGGGAGCCTCTTCCCCACAGAAAAACAGGTTACATGCAGATTGTGACCAACTTTCAGTAAGACTATCTCGAAACTTTCACTTGATCACAGGAGGGAGCATGAAAAGACAGGAGAGAGAAAGGTATCAGCCTTTGGAACCGTTCACTCTGCCCAGCAGTGGAGGTCTGGAGCGCTCACCCGAGGATCTGCCTGTGATGCAGAAATGCCAGGTTATCATTAGGATCTTGCACAGGACTCACAGCTGAGGGCAGCTTCTCTCTTCAGAGGAGCTTGTTTTTTCTGGAGAAGCAGAAGAAAAAAAAGTCCAGACTGAAGTTCAGGTTTTAGAGGTAGAGCATCATAGATCTTTCTTGTTGAGAAAAAGTAATAAAAACAGTGCCTCTGGTTTAAAACAAACAAACAAAAAAAAACCTATGTCCTCTTTAGTTAATGTTGGATCTAAATGGTAGACAGTACCTTCCCTGTCATAGTTTAAAGGGAACAGGTTAAAAAAAAAGGCCAAAGAAGCTGCCGAATTAAAGCTGTACATACTTTGTAATGGCAACCAAGAATGCCAGAGGGGATGGAATGTGGAAAAGCCATTGTAAATTATGTTTGACATTTTTAGTGACCTGGAAACATGTTTATGCTTAAAGAAATGAAAGAGGGGCTGGCTGGGAACCAACATGATCCCAATTACATGATGAAAAAGAAAAATGCACGTGCACATGTAGATACAAAACTGGGAGAAATACAACACGTTAAGAATGGTTGTTTTGAGGCAGTGGAGCTGTGGGAATTTTGCTTCCCTAACAAGTCTCTTTTGGATTCACCACAGAAGGCACGTGGTGAGGCAACATGGCTCTGTGACAGGCATGCATGTTCTGGAGTCACACAGAGCTGGAGAGAGCCACCGTGCACTGCGGGGAGATGTCTCAGAGCTGTTGTGTCTTCTCTGCTAATCAGCTTAGAGGCTGATCGCGAGGACTGAAGGAGATGACATATATCAGGCACCTTTCGAGGTGGCTGACGGCGTGCACGTCAATAAGCCTGTTCAGCATGTTATTGTATAGACACAAAGGTTTCTTTATTTTAACTCTTTGGCAGAATCCCTCATCTGTACAGTCATTATGGTTCTTTGGGTAGGAAATAATTCTGGGACCCTTAACACTTCTCACCCATTAAAGCTTCTCCTATTCCTGGATACACTGAGAGTCACCAGTCCTGTCACTTGGGCTATGAAGCCCTGGTCCTGTTTAGCTTGGGTAACAGCTTCAAGCTCCTGAGAGCTGCAAACAAGCCGGCCCAAGCCATGAGCACAGTGGTGTAATCTTTCCTTAACAGGGAGACAGTCCCTCACGGGGTGGGGGGTGAGGTGTGGCAGAAAAAGAGGGAGCCTCTTCCCAACAGAAAAACAGGAGACTGAATGCAAACGATGAGTACCTAAAGATCACCCTGAAACGTACATTTCTCCCAGGGAGCCCTGTAGGATAAGCGATTATCATCCCCTCGGCAATGCTATATGCTCATCTCTGTTTACACCACATAAGGATCTATAGTTTACAGTTTTTGACTTCTTTCTTATTAACCTCCTCTGCCTGCAGTCTCTATTATCGTTCATCAATCAAACAAAAACACATCATGAAGTATTTATTACTTACTCTGTTAAATTCCCTGGAGAATCAAAGAAAAGGCTGTGGGTAGAAGACAAAGCCTTGGATTGGACAAAATAGGCCTTGGTTTTTTTTTGTTGTTGTTCTGATTCTACCTCATTTATCCTCTCTAGGCCTCAGTTTCCTTATCTGTAAATAGGGGATAACAGTACCTACCTCCTAGAGTTGCTAAAAGGATTAGATAAAAATTTACCCTTCCTTTATTTCAATTTAGTCACCAGGATACTGTAATTAGGAGTAAATGGGAAAATATTCATACGGAGTATCTGAAAGCAGATAGCATATAAGTGAACTTTACAGTATCGTCCTAAAGCTTACAAGCCAGTTAGGGAAACAACGATATTGGTGGAAAGATGAGGAAACAAGAGATGGTGATAACCAAGATGGTATGAAAAGCAAAAGGAATCATGTTGATTTGAGTACGCACTGCCTGTCAAGTCCCTTCTATGTGATCTCATTTAACCAGAAGAGCAACCCTATAAGATCATTAACTTTATATATATATATGTATGTGTGTGTATATATAAATCTCCCATAGTCCAATTTAGACCATCAGTAAGGGGCAGAGCCAGTATTTTAGCATTAAGAGACAGGACTCTTCTCTATGACTATGTTCCCATGAGATTGTTCAAAATCTTTTCTAGATGAGGCCAACTTCAATGGAGAACTATGAAAAAGCATGATGGTCCCAAGATGACTGTCCAATGGTGAAGCACCATAAATGCCAACTGCTGACTGAGCCCAAGAGAATTCTCTGCTCATAGTGGGAATAGCTGGACAGCCAGGTTGAATGACCATCATCACTTGCCAAGGGCTGACCACGTATCAGACACTGTACAGGTATTTAACCACCTCTGTTCTTTTAACAGCTCTATCAGGTCTAAATAGTTTAATTTCCTTAACAATAAGCAACTGGACTTAGACTATGACTAATAGCTATCATTTATTGAAGGGTATGGCCTATCAAGGTGCATGCCATTATCAATCCTACCTCCACTCAGAGAAAATGAAACGTAGAGAGGGACATGAATTGTCAGAGGTCACTAGGCTCCTAAATTTGAACCCATCTCTTAACTCCAAAGCAATTATTTATTTTATGTGAAACAAAGACCCAGGGAAGGCAAAGAAAGTCGAGAATGCAAGGCTGCCGGTGGGACTAAGTTAGAGTTAAATTACTACCAAGTTTTTCTTTATTGATATCACTAACACCACCTGCTTCTACTGAGAGCTGAGTGTCAGGCACGGTAATAAAACTTAAATTACACAACACGCTCTGTGAAACGAGCTAATTACTCTATTTTACAGAGTTGTAAACCGAGGCTCAGAGAAGGGAGAAAATTCACCCAAGGTCAGAGTGAGTAGCATTAGAACTCCGGTTTGGGTGATTCCTGAGGCCCGGCGTCTTTCCTCGGCATCAACAACCAAAATAACACACCTTTTTCACCCAGCACTAGTCCATTCATAAAGACTTATTGCCTCAGAGACAGAAAGGCCACGGAGAGTCCCCTGGGGAGTCCAAAAGCCAGCCCCCAGCACCTGCCCCTACAAAAAGGCGAAGCAGGGACCCGGCCCTAGGACCACCTCCCTCAAAGTCCTCGGTCCCAACACCCGGAGAAGCCACGATCCCGTTCCCACTAGTTACCCGCAGGCCGTAGACCTTTATCCACTCGATGTCCCGGCGCTCGGGGTCGGAGCTACAGTTACCACCGCCTCAGTCCAATACCTCTGAGGTATCCCAGGCCCGGGACAGCAGCTCAGGCCCGACCGCCATCTTGCCCCGGGGTGTTCTCTCTGAGGGCTCCGTCGGGAAACTATCCAGCAGCGGGAAACAACAGTTCCGTAGGGCTACTTTGTCCAGGAAGGAAAAACTCCCTGCACCTTGTCCTCTTCTCTAGAAGATGAAAAAGCAGAGCATTCAGGAGAGTGATAAATGCCTGACATAGCCGAGAGGCGAAGCAACCCACTCCAGCCGGGGAGTTTGGAAGGAAATCAGCCCATATCTAGGAGCACAACGGATCCTTTAGAAAGGTGCTCTCTGCGGGGCGGAAGTAGGGCTCAGACAGCGGAAGTTCCCGCCCACGTCCCGCCTCCGCCCCGGCTCACGCGAGCTGGGTGTTTCCTGTCTCTCTCAGTCCGGGTTTGGAGACTCCGGCGTCCTCCGGCTTTTCATGGTAAGGAGGGCGGTGCCCACCGACTGGGGTCTCTGGGAGGCCGAGAGTGCGGGGCAGAGGCAGAGCAGAGGAGGCAGGGACCGAGAGGAGGGGGTGTGGTGGCGGGCTGTCGCGATAGCGGACAGGCGGTTGGGGGAGTGGATGGGGGCGAGGCCGAGGGTTGGGGGAAGGGCTTTGAGTGGAGAAGTGTGTGTATGTGTGTGTGTGTGTGTGCGCGCGCGCGCGCGCTGGGATGGGGGTGAGGGTGGGAGTTCCTGGCAATAAGGTCGTCTGGGCTTGGGGAGTAGGTGTGTGCGTGGGTGAGTAGGGGGAATAATCTCTAAGTCTTTAGTGTTTGTTGGAAGTGAAATTTGGTGATTGTCAAGAGAACAAAGAGATGTCATTGAAGACAGACTTTTAGGGTAGAAAATGAGGATATGGAGAGGGTTGTGGAGGAGAATGGGTAGGTTATGAGAGGGCGAAGTGGGATTCCTTGGATTGGCGCGTTTGGGGTATTTTGGAAGTTGTGCAAGAGTTGCTGGGTTTCTGGAAAGTGGCAAAGGAGCTTCCAGGTGCATCTGAATACACGGTCCAGTGGAGTGGAGGAAAGAAATAGAGGGAGCCGGAGGGCAGGTGTGCGTTTGATGCTGGTGACTCTGTAGAGGGGTGCCAGGGTACCTTCCCCACAGAGACCAGCACCTTAATAGGAGCCTGAATACTTACGTAGTCACTTCTGTTGAAGCCCAAGATGGCTACACCTAAGGAGCTGGGGTTCCTCACTCTGTCTCCTAGCTGTTGGAAGGTTTCTCTGTGCTTGGAATCCTTCAAGGGTCTGTTCCTTGAATACCTCTTTTTCTCTGGGTAGGAATGACCAAAGTTCAACCTAGACCCTCTTTTTACTTGTCTGTTCTGGATCTCTTCCCTGGTAAGTGTAGCCTGTAGGGAATATCCGTCCCAAGGCCACTGCTGAAGAAAAAATGACTCAACCTCTGTCTTTGGATGGCTCCATTTTGTGCAAAATAAGTTCCACCTGAAAGGAAGAAGGCTCTAACCAGTGGTTCTCAAACTGTGGTTCCCCAGACCAGCAACATCACCTGAGAACTAATTAGAAATGGTCAAATTTTTTAGCCCTATCATAAAGTCAGTCTAGGCGTGGGGCCAAGCAGTCTGTTTCAGCAAGCCCTGCAGGAGCTTAAGAGTAATGGTTTCTTGACTTGGGATATGTAATGAGAGGGGAGTGGGAGTAATAGTTGTGATACTTTTCTCCCCTTAAAAATGGGATTGACGATAACATTTTACTCACTACACTGTTCAGAGAAATAGGCCAGTGGTTTGTGTGCTCAGCACAGGAAGAGAAAGTAATCACCAGAACGCTTGGAAATAGCAGTCGCTGTCCTATAAGTTAAGTTTTAGATGCAAAATGATATTACAGTTATGTATCTGATTGAATTTAGTTTGGTTGAAATGAAACAGCAGACTTTTCAGAGTTGTAGAAATTCCCTCAGTTTGGAGGGGGAAACCAGTTTATAATTAGCCTCAAGGCAGTGACTCTTAGATCTAGCTGGTTAAAGAAACACCTTAGCCTTGTGGCTCTCAGCGCTGGCGGAACATTAGCATCACCTGAAGAGCTCTTTAAACAGTAGTTTCTGAGCTGCTCGGCCCCTCCCCAGTTTGCTTAATTGTTCTGCAGTGAAGCCAGTTGTAGCAGTACTTTTTAAAGGCACCCAGGTGATTCCAGTACAGCCAGAGCTGGGAACCTCTGGTCTTAAATATTGAGAGGCAGAAGGGAAACCACACGAAATACTTTCCCATTTACTCCTTGAGAGATTGTGAAGATTATGGCTTTAACTTCGTTTTGCAAGTTAGGAAACTGAGACTCAGTGAAACTGTCTGAACATCACGCAGGACTGTGGTCCAGGTTTGCTAAACTCGTTCAGACCATACACACATGGGAGACAGTGCTACAGAGAGATGTAGAGGAAATTTCCAAGAGTGACAGATTTGGGGCCTTTTTTTTTCCCTGTTGTACTTACCTGGGTCTCATTTCAAGTCAAGGGTTTTTCCCCTGGGGCTGATTTTTATGTTTTAAGCTTGCATAGAGTTGCTTCCTGTCTATATTCTGAAGCTGAGAAATAGGGGCTTGCTTTTATTTTTGATGGTTTGGTTTGTTTTTATGTGTGGTCAGGAACTCACAGGGCCCATTGAGCAAGAGGTTGGGGAGTTTCTCCCAAGACCATGAAGTTAAATGTAGCCTGATTGGAGTGAGGGCTACATAGAGCTTTTGGAACAGTGGGCTGCAGTCTTGGCTGCACATTGGAATCACCTAAGGAGTTTAAATTCAGAAATTCTATTGTCCAGGACCCCCCCCCGCCCCAGCAAACCAATTAAATCAGAATTTCCATGGATAGGGCCTAGGCATCAGTATTCTTTTTTAAGTGGAAAGCTAGTGTTTAGAGCCTTCTACGGTGTGCTCAAGGGAGATGGGAAAGAGAAGCTTTGACTTCTTCATCTAATTGGAATAAACTGAATAGAGTTGGTAACCAATACCTCAAGTATTAATTACCAATTTTGCTCTCTCCTGCCCACCTCCCCAGCCTCATTAATAATGAAATCAAGCCTTTAAAGCAAGTTAAAAGGCAGACTCTCAGCAGGGATGGCTGGGGAGTCCTCCGTGGAGAGGTTTGCTGAGAGAGGCTCATTGTCTGCTGCTTTGTGTCCTCCACTCCCTGTGACTCAGGCTTAGGGATGTGAGCACAGCCAGAACCTTTTTTCCAAGGGCCTCTCCTAGTATTGATGGACCTTTGAAAGGGTGGGCTCCAGAAAGGCTCAGGGCTTTCTTTGTCTATTCTTGAGTCTCAAGCTAAATCAGGATGGTTTCTACTTTTATCTTTTAGTAATTCAGTGAATGTCAACAGAGCTGGAAATGATCTCCAAAGAGAAGATAATTTAAGACTTTCAGAGCATTCTCAGATAATCATAGTTTGAGTGCTTCGTGTTGGAGTGTTTGCTCTGAGCCAAGGGCGGGGCTGAGCATTCTCTGTGGCCTCCCTCCCCGCAGCCCTGGGAGGGAGGTGTGGCGGTGGTCCCCACCTGACAGCCCGGACTAGGCTCAGACAGATGGCTCCTGCAGGCTCCTGCAGCTGGTAGATGGCGGGGGCCGGGGGCTTAAACTCAGGTCTGCCTTCCAAAACCAAGCTCTAAACCACAGGTGGCCTTCCATCTTTTATTCAGAGCTCTTTTGTACTTTCTGGAGGAGGGGTGGGGCCTTCTTACTCAGTTTATAAGTCATAGCTCTATATATACAGAGCACATTCATTGATAAGATCATGGGCTTGAGGCCAGGCAGGACTTGCCCGCATCTTTCACTTGCTTTGTCACCAAGACACCTCTGTCACCAGTGCACTTTGGGAAGTGACTGAATGTCTGTGTGCCCAGGTATCAGAATCTACAAGATGGAAAGAATGGTAGCTGTCTCCAGCATTGTTCGGATTTTAAGTGATTGTATGTGTTGATCAAAATTAAAATTATCTTCTGGAAGGGAGGAGTGGGAAAGCCTTAGAGGGGCTTTATGTAGTGATGGAATTGTTCTGTCTTGACTGGAGTGGGGGCTACATAGATGCATAAAGTGACCAAACTCATCAAACTCTACACTTAAAATACACTTAACTGAATGCAAATTATCTTTAAAAATTAGGTATCAGAAAGCAAGAAAAAAAAAGTACAATACATAGAAGTGTCCTTTATGACTTTTTCTGGTCTCTTTCATGGTAGGTGCCTTACAAAATGTACAAAATACACCATTTTCCAAAAACACTTATTTTTGTGTAAATTTAGATCAGAAAAGGGTATTTCCATCTAGGGACAAATTTTCTTAACTAACCCATCCCCACCTGCTCAAAAAACGCAAACCCGTAACTATAAGCTTTTTCACCCCCTTCCAGGTCTTCAAAGTTTTCAGAAATTCTTTATTCCCATCAGGTCTTTCTGTCACCCATGGACAACACAACATGTCTTTCTAGTGGAGATGGTTGATAGTAACTGTTAGTGTCAGGTCTTTGGGACCGATTTCAAAGGAAGGCGGGAGGGAGGAGCCACGGCTTCCTCTTGGCCTCTGTCTTTTGTGTTTGGTATCAGGTCCTAGAGACCGCAGGTGAGCGAGGCCTGAGCTTCTGCAAACCTTGTGATGTTTTTGCTAGATGAAGCTGAAACAGTTTCTTGAGAAAACACTTTTCTCTCCAGGAGGCCATTCTTCCTCTGACACTCTGCAGGGCCCTGACACCAGTTCCCCACTGGGTGATTTCCAGGCTACTCTTTTGAGGGGGTGGAGGGTCAGGCAAATTGGCCCTTGTCTCTGCTGTTACCGGTGGATGGCAGGTTGCCACCCATCGGCCCCTTATCCCATTTAAAAAATAACATTTGTGTTTAATCAGTTATAAACATAATACCTGTTCATCGTGGGAGAGCTGAAAAAGACAGACAGACATAAAGGATTTTTTTAAAAATCCTTTTCCAGTATCAGGGTATAGTTTTTAAAAGTTTTGTTTTGTCAGTGCCCTCCAGGTGGAACTACCAAGAGCATGTCTGTAGTCAAACAAAGTTGGGTTTATTTCCTTGATGCATTGAGGGAGACCTGTGGGGCATCTCAGAAAGAGATTCG